GCGGTAATCTAATACGGTTTTAATGATAATTAAAATATGAAACGGTAATACTAACAGTCGAGAATTTTATCATGATTTATCGTCAAATCGTTACATCCCTATGTGAATACAAGGGAGGTTTAGCTTTTAGGCATTTTAATTTAAGCATGTTTAGCTTAGTTAACGGAAGCTGCTGGCATCAGAGCAAGTGTAATTACTGCATTCATGCGCTCCTCGATGCTCTCATTTCCCGAGCTGTGCTTTTAAGTCGGAATGTGAAAACAACATGGACACTCTCGTTACTACAAAGATTTGTTGGATCTGTATTATTAGAGCTTTCCGACTTGAGTTCACGTGCATTTTCTCAGTCGGGAAATTATTTTTCTCATGCGGTGCCGGTGATGATCCTTCTTACGTCCGTTTCAGAGAACCAGAGGACAAATATTTCAATATTTCATATTGGTACCGGGTTTCGGTACCCAACCCTAACTCTGGCCCAGGGCATTCTGGGAGAGCGAACGCTTCCTCACCTTACACTGCAGGTGAATCCTGTTCGCTTCCTTCCACATCTCCGTCTGCAGAGACTGTCCCGGATACACGGGCTTCACAAAACGCACCTGAGACACAGACTAGGGTTATTAACAGGGCTGGTAATTAATTAATTACATGATGTGCAGGTTAATTACAGGGATTAAAGTGTTACGTCGCTACGACGGATTTCCGTCAGTTCATAAAGACAGTCACTTGCTTCATTCCTGAATGATTCAGCCGTTCGAACGAATCAATTGATTCAGTGATAAAATCAGTGACTTGCCGCCACCTGCTGGTGGATTTAGATTCATTTTTAGCTTATTTCAGTTATTTGAATCATATTTCTGTATTCAAAATTTAATATTTAAAACATTAATCTCCACATGAATTTCTGAATTTAATTGCACTCATGCCACCTCAAGTGGCTTCTAGGTACATTTTCAGACGTTTAATGAGGCTCAGAGGTAGCATGAGTGCAAATAAATTCATGTAATATGATTCAAATAACTGAAATTATACGCTAAAAATTAATCTAAATCTGCCAGCAGGTGGCGGCAAGTCACTGATTTTATCACTGAATCATTCATTCAATTGATTCGTTCGAACAGCTGAATCATTGAGGAATGAAGCAAGTGACTGTCTTTATGAACTGACGGAAATCCGTCGTAGAGACGGAACTTTAATAATTAATCAATTAATCACACATCAGTCTGTGGGGTATTTTGAGCTGAAACTTCACAGACACATTCACCAGAGGCTTATATTACATATTGTAAAAAGGGGCATAATATGTCTCCTTTAACATCCTCAAAATGACACACTTCCTGTTAAAGAGCGTCTTTACCTCCCATTGCGGCGAAACTGGGGTCGATGTGCAGCGGGTTCCAGTCACCGCTCAGTCGGTACAGAGCCGCCTGAACACACATCAACATCCACACACTGAACATATATGATTCACACAAACATAAAACACATTTATACACACTAGTGTCAAAAGCTTGGGGTCTATACGTTTTGAATGTTTCTGAAAGAAGTCTCTTCTGTTCAGCAAGGCTGCTTTTATTTGATCAAAATTCCGTAAAAATGTGAAATATTATTGTGATTTAAAATATCTGTTTTCTATGTGAATATGTGTTAAACTGTAATTTATTTCTGTGATGCGCAGCTGTATTTTCAGCATCATAACTC